AGAGACTCTCGGCCCGGCGCAGGGGCAGCGAGAGCGAGCCCGTCTCCGGGCAGTCCTTCAGGTCCCTCCTCAAGACCAGCTGGCTTTTGCTCTTGAACAGTTTGTAGATCTTGTTGGTCAGCGTGTGTCTGTATTTGTGGTGGGTCTTCTCCACCTTCAGCTCCGGCCTGCCCACCATGTCCAGGGAGCTCTCGTCGCTGTCCTCCGCGTACCCGCTGTCCATGCAGTCCTTTAGGCTGGACACAAATGACTTCAAGGACTTTCTGGAGACCACCGTCAGCTCCGAGATGGAGTCCCTGGAGGTGGTGAAGAGGGACACTCGCGAGGGCTTAGATCCCTCCTCCGACAGCGCTGAGTACACAGAGTCTTTGGAAATGGCGGAGATGGGGGAAAGCAGAGAGTCCCGCTCGGGGGAACAGCCATCGGTTTCCACCTCCTCCTCTTCTTCGTCCTCCTCCTCATTCTCTGAGGCCATGGGCTCAACAACGCTGCACTCTTTGCTGAGGACATCATTGAGGATATCTGAAAGACAACCAGAGGGAAATCGTGTCTGGCACAGGCTCCAGCATAACCACTGGAAATGTGATGACCCCAGACAACACCACCACTACAGAGTTGCCAATGCTCTCTTTGATCCTGCATGGTTTCAAACAAGGAGCTGAAAACCTCCTACTGAATGATTTTAGATTTCCATAAGGTGCTCAGATGCAATGCAAAACAAAACATGTTTCTCTTCCTGAGGTCACATTCTGTTTGGGTTCTCGAAAGGCAAAGACCAGTTGGGGTTTTGCTTCCTTCCTACACAGATTTCACAATGCACTCACGTCCGATCCGGGTGTAACTGGAGGGCAGGAGGAAAGCAAGGTATTTGGGTAATGAAACCCGAACTCACCCCACTGTGGGCTGGCCTCCTGGCAAGGCTGAGCTCACTGCAAAGCCCAAGCCAGAGTTCGTGTCCAGCTCGCTGGGGCCAGCAGACAACGAACACTAAACCTTCACAGGAACAGAAAAGGTCTTCCAGGAATGGGGAAGCCAGAGAGATCAGCTCAGCAGAAGGGGAAGCCACTGCTTCCCCTGCAAAACTGCTGCGGCCAGGCCAACAGCACGGCAAAGGCACCCGCTCCTGGGCCATCCCTGCTGTGGGTGGGGGAAGAGCTGTAACGTCCAAGGGGTCTCAACCCCACAAAGCTCTGACACCTCAGTGTCGTCAGGTTTTTCTAGCAACAATTATTTCCAGGGGACAAGCAAGGTTTATTCCTCACAGAGGAGCTTTCTACCAAACAAGGTCTCCATCCTACCAATATCCCCATGGACTCGGGTGCGACGAACCTCTTCCAGCTTGATGCAAGGCACAACTTTGCCCAGGAGATTAAGTCCTGCATGATTTGTCTCTGGCAACAGATGTTCTGGGGCTACCAGCGTCTTTTGCCCACCGCTCAGAGGAGGGCTTTTGCTTGGGATCACAGCAGGTGTCATGCCCAAGCTGATGCCCACATCCTCTCCCATCTAGGGGACACTGGCATCCCCATGTTACCTCTCCCTCCAACACCAGCAGTTTGCTCCTGGCTCTTTCATGCTCCGGCCGCAGTTTGTGTCATGCACCCGGCTGCACGTGGCAGCCCCAGCCAGACTGAAACGCTGCTCAGCCACCCCTGCGACGGGGAGCAGAGGGCTACGGTCTCACTTGGAGGCACTGGGGATCCCCCCTCTGCTTACCAAAGTTATCCTGATCCCAGCTGTAAGTGTAGCAGCGAGTGGCGGGGACAGGGATGGTGTGGAGCTTGCGGGGCTGAGCCTCACCTGGGAGGAGAGGAGGGAGAGGAGTTAGTTTGCAGGGAACCCCGATACGGCTCCCGACAGCACTCCTGGCTGGTGGAAGATGCCACCCACCCTGTGCACGTGTTTTGGGCAGCCCAGGCTATGCAGAGCACTGATGCTGCTGTCATTATCCCGGTGAAGTCACACGCAATTGGGATGATGGGACATTTCACACCCTAAGAGCCATCAGGCATCACTTGCTGCCATCAGTTTCTGATTTAATGTTTTCATCTCACCCACAAAAGCTGGAGAATTATTTTTTTTGTTGTTGCTGGTTTAATTAAAGATGAGAAACAGTTTCTGGCTCATCGTGTGGTTATGAAATAGGACCTGGGTTGGTGGGTTTTTTTTGTTGTTGCACTAGGTTGAAACTTTGCGCAAAGGAGGGCTTTGCACTTCAAAGGGCTGGCTCCCAGCACCCACAGCACAGGGGAGCTCATCGCCGCTGCAGGGGCTGAGCCGGTAGGAAACCCTGGAGGAAAGAGGGGCACAGGGGGGTTTCTCACCCGCGATGGCAGGAAAGGATGCGGCCCCAGCAATGTCCCGCAGCATGGACTGCAGCTGCTCCCGGGCTGGGACAGGGTCGCTGCTGGCGGCTGCGATCTCTTGTGCGTCGGCGGCGCTGGCGTAGATCTCCGAGAGCTCTTCCAGTGTCTTGGACTGGGGGGAGCAGAGCCAAGAGGAGAGACTGAGGGGGGGGTCCCTCCGCAGAGGCAATGTACAGGTCTTTGGAGAAGGTTACTAACTACACCACTGGGCAAATCTCTCTCCCTCCTCTACCTCCCACCCCTTCAAACCCCAAAATATCTGCAAAGAAAAAAAGTGTGTTTCAACAACCTATGGGCTCATCTTCACAAGTTTTTGCCCCCATCCCAAACTCCAAAGCAAAGTGTTTCTCTGGTCATACAAACATTTTTGCTGCATTTCAAATCCAGGGGCTCTTCCTCTGTCCACTTAGGGATGGGGAAAGGAGTAAAAGGCAAGTTACAACCCCCCCCACACACACATTTCACAAAACAGAAGTGTAGACCTCAGGTCTAACCTGAGAAGAGAAGGGAAAGACGTGTATTTTTTCCTACAAGAGGTGTTATCAAAACATTTTTTCTTTTGTCAATCAAATATTATTTTGGTCAGAAAATCCACCAACCAACTGCATGAAAGCGTTCCCAACTGCATCGTGGCATCACCGAAGTCGAAGCTCCCTGAGCCTACCTTCAGGAGGTGGTGCAGGCTGTCCAGGTCGCAGCGGGTGCCGAAGTTGGCCTGGTAGAGGTGCTCGAGGAGCATGACGAGCGTGGCGTGCTGCGGGTGCTCACTGGCACTCAGCTTCTCGGCGATGGACAGGAACTCGCTCTGCACCTCGGAGCGGTTGAGCAGCAGCACAGTCCTGGGGACGAGGGGACACAGGGGTACAGCGGTTAGGCCGGGCAGACAGGCTCAGGCACTGGTGGCACATGAAACTCTTGGACAAATTTGCACTAGAGGGCAGTGTCCTCTCACGTTAGTCACAGCCGGAGGGTCTCCGGGCTGTGCAGGGATGCCAGATCCAGATCGTGCCAGCCTCAGGCAGGGAGCGGGTAACGGATGAGCATCCTCCATCCCACCCCTCGGCACCATTCCTTGCACCACCTCTCCTGCTACATCTGCCATATCACCAGCCCAATAATTGTTCATTCAGCCACAGACAGGGCTCCAGCCCAGCAGTCAGTTGTCCAAACTGGACATCCAGCACAAGTAATGAAGTGGGGACAGAAAATGAGAGTGACCCCCAAAACATCTTACCCCTGCAAGGTGCAGGTCAGGGCATCACTTCTGGGCTTTACGGAGAAAAGCCACATCCTTCAGCTGCATTTTTGCTCTGGATCACAACATGAATATCCACAGGTTTTGAATTCCCAAACCTGCAGTCTGGACAGCATGTGCTTCTGTTCATGGAGGAGAGCAGTCCACCTCACTGAGCAAAAACGGCTCTGAATTAAGGGTGTGCTCTGGTGTGCTCAGTTCTAGAAAGCTCAAGCAATGGATACAAGCTTTCAATAAGCGCAAGGTCCAGCTTGTGTACAGCTTTGTGCCAGGTTTTCAGGGCTTTTTGTGCGAATATAGCCATCCTGCTGTAAGCCATCGGTGGTTGCACTTGCACCAGTATAACCATGTAGAGCAGGGGAGCTGTACTGGGAAAGCAACACAGCAGTACCAGCACAGCTGGGTGGGATACAGGTGCAGATCCAGAGCTGTCACAGCGTGAGCAGAGAAGCCAAAAGAGCAGGACACCCCTCCTGCACAGAGCGGAGGCGGCTGTGCACGAAGGACTGTCCCTGGGGCTGGCACTGCAGCCAGGAAGGGCACACACCGCCCAGGCTCATTTTCCTATTTACAAATGAGGTGCCCTGGCAGGAAGAAAGGTTCAGCCCTTGAATAAGGTGCAAAGTCTGACCGCGTTCAGAGCTGCAAGGCTTTCATTAATTGTTGCACTGGGATGGACTCGCTTCTCGCCCCCATCAGTGTGGTGGCTCCCAAACACACACATCAAAGCATCTCCTGACTGTTCTCCAATGTGTGCCAAGATCAGCAGCTCCCTGTAGAGAAGACTTTGCCTTCCCCGGCTGTTTTCACCCAGATGTGCAGCCCTGCAGTAAGCAGGACTGTGGGATAACCAACATGGGGAGCCCACAGACCCCAGCCCACGGCCATGGAAATGCCACAGCCATTTTCCTTATCCCTTCCCACAGCTCAGCCCAGCTATCCAGCTCTTCTTCCCAGCACCCACCACTACACCTTTGAGACGTGCTCGCTGCAGCCCCACTGCTGCTTAAGCACTGTGAGACAACAGGGATGCGAGAGAATGGCAGCACCCATGGCCACACTTACACGGTGGAGCTCTGGTAGTTCTTCACAGGCAGCCCCTGCTCCGTCCTCACCAGCCTCTGGAAAGAGATTCCTGGGGTAGAGAGCAGAGGACATGAGATACGGCATCACTGCAGACCACTCTGCTTCAAGAGCACATCAACTTTATCTCCTAACATGGTCCTGACGTGGCTGAGCCGCTGCCCAGAGCAGGCATGGCACCACCAAAAGTCCTGATGGGGACTGGGTAAAAGCCCAGAGCGATGAGAAAGAAACCAAAGGACAGGACGGGAGAGCTGCTCCATCCCCAGTCCCTTCTGCCCCACCACTGATGTGGGATGTGAATTGCATGGATGATATTTAGCAGCTTCTGCCACTTGCTTTAGCCGCCCCAGGCCCTGGATCTCACTTATGGGCAGCAGGTCACTGCCACCCTCCCTCCCGCAGGGATGGAGCCCAGGGTGGCCCCAGCAGAAGAGAGGCTGGCGTGGGCAGCCCACGTCCCTGGATGCCATCGGGAACCCCAACCAGGTGACATCGGATGGAACTGGACTGGGTGGCAACAGCAAAGCCCGTGTCACCCCCAAACAGCAGAGGGACTGGCGTACATCTTAGGAAAGATCTTATGGCATCAGCAAGATCCAGCACCCTTATTACTGCAGGCAGCCACATTCCAACCCCAGCTGCTGCTCAGCACCCACGGTGGGGACCCAGCACCAACAGGCAGCTCACATTGATCCACACAGGCCCCTCGATTATGGCAGCATTCACCCCTCTTGCAGAGGCATCAGCCTCAGTTTGCAGATAAAAGCTATTGCATTCTTGGCAAATATTGACAGCAGCTTGTTCTCAGTTAATATTTACCCTCATCTCAATAAAAAGCTTTTGCTTCAGCCTCGCAGCATGTCACGGAGGCTGTGCACCAAGCGTATGAGGTCCAGGCCAGCTTTCCAGCTGAGGACACCTTTTCGCAGTTCTTGGCTCCAGTTGGGGGGAGAGGCCACGGCGAGGGGCAGCACTGGGCTCCCCAGCCCTGGCAGGCCAACACCTCCCACACGGCATCTTTGGCATGGGTGGGGGAATCTCATGTGCTTGTAGGAGGGGAAAAGCTTTTGGACCAAAGTCCCCAGCTCAGACAGCCCCGGGCACCGGTGACGGTGGTGATGGCACAATAGCAGGACGTAGCAAACCCCCCGTTTCCCAGTGGTCTGTAAAACACGGCCCCAAATGGTGTCACAGCAATAAATGACCAGAAAAGAGCTGGGGAAGTCCACAGCTGCAGCAGCATGGGACGTGCATCCTCATGTCCACGCTGGTGCTGCAGCTCTGAGCTGGAGGCTAGACACAGCACAACAGCCCAGCCAGACCTTGCCTGGTGGCCACAGCCACTTATGCTGGTGGAGTCTTGAGCTGGGGGTAAATCAGCCAGTCCAGTGCCAACACTGCAGAGGGTTTGGGGTTTTTCTAATATTTTTGTTACTTTGAAAGCATCTTTCATCCCATCTGCACCTACAAGCTCCCATCTCCACAGGATGTTGCTGCCATGACAATGACCCTGCGTTTCACGTCCCCATCAGGGCTCTCCAAAGCAGCTGTCTGGTTTGAGGACGGGGAGAAGCATCCCCAGACACAGCCCACGTACCCATCTGAGGCACCCAGTCCCACTCAGAGCCGGTCTCACTGCCACAGCCCTGCACAGGATTAAACAAGGGCTGAGATCCGCTCCGTGTGATAAGAGCTCTCCATAAGCCACCAGAAGACAGGCAGATTAGGGGAAATGGCCTTTTAGAAATAATTGGAAGAGCTGCTCCGTTGGGAACAACAGGACATCTACGAGGAGCCCTTAATTAAAAGGAGCACCGCTGCTGCTGATAGATGTGCCCAAAGCCGTATCACAAGGTAGTGTCTCAGCTGTAAAGAAAGAGCCGGGGAGTCTCTCAGCCCTATGGAAATCTCCACGCAAGGGCAGGCTCGAAGGCTCCAGCCACCTTGATGCTGATGAATGGACCCACTGTTATCACCCCAGTTAGACCACTGAGCATCTCAAACAAAGCCCAGTGCTGGGCGGGAGCAGCCAGCACGTGCTTTGCCATGGAAAAGACCCCTCAGACTGAAAGGCAGCCAGGAAATAGTTACACATTTTGCTAATCCACACTGGTCCGGAGCGGAGAGCCCCTGGGCTGCTCCCACCGCCTTGCACACAAGGCAGCCACCAAAAACACAACCCTGCCCTGCTCCTCCAGAGGAATCTGGTCTCACCCTGTGCTGGACCACCAGGGAAAATCATCCAAAGGTCCTCACCTCCTGGAAAAGCTCAGTTTTGGGATGCACAAGGTAAGCGTGGACACCACGCTCAAGGGATTCATGAAGCACGTGGGGTGTGAGAGAGCAACACCAGGAGAGGCTCAGGAACAAACACAGGGCGGTCGTGGCAGGGGGTGTTTTTGGGGAAGCAGCACCCGTAGCACATGAAAACCCCGCGGCGGGGCAGTAACGCTTACCGGGGGCCTTGAGCTCATCGCTGATGAAGGTGAGCAGCTCGCGGAAGATGTTACAGTAGGGCACGGGCCAGGTCAAGAAGCTGTGGTATACACTGGCGGCTTTCAGGAGCAGGTCGGAGCCGGGTGGGAAGTGGGGAGCCTGCGGGGGACGGGGAGGTATGGTTAGAAAAGGGAGCAAGGACATGGGCCTCGAGCACTGCGTACAAACTCGAGGGTTTAGGCTGGAAGTGGGAGAAGCAGCGGATGGGAGCAGAGGTTCACCCCGTGACACCCCATCCTCTCCCAGGGAAGGGTCAAAGGATCCCCCCAAGGTGCACAGCTCTGAGAAATCTTCATCCGCTCTGCACCTTCCCATCCTCCCGGCTGTGGATCACATGCCAAAGCCTATATATAAATTTCTTTTTAACAACCACAGATCCATACAGATGAATCGCATTACAGCCCGTGCTTTTGCAAGATCTGGCAGCAATGATTTCCTTGGGATAATGATGCATTGTGCTAATAATAATAATAAAAAAAGTATTTCCTGTGAAGGCTCCACTCCTTTTCATTAGTGCTGTCTATATATTTTGCACAAGTATAAAGGGTGATGAAAAAAATTTGCCTTCTCTGCACAGAGATATTGCCCGTCTCCCTTTCTGATTAGCCCATCTTTGAATAAAAAGATTAAAAACACTGACGTTCATTTTTTGTCTCTCAGCTTGTGCAATGGTTCCCTGCTCCTGATCCCTGTAGATTAATACAGAATCTTTTTTTTTTTTTTTTTTTTTTATGAATTGATCAAAGCAGACCGTGATGTTTCAAACAAAAGCCACCTTGATTTCAGTGACCGTCCAGCATAGCTCCAGGGGGCCCTGCTCCCCATGTCTCCCCAGGGGCTGGGATCAAGCCACGTGCAGCAGCCTCAGGACTTACATACAGCACCGCATAGTAGAAGAGCAGAGCCAGGGGCGTTACGAGATCGTAGTCACACTTCTCCTGCACCTGTAGGAAACAGCCCGAGGGCAGAAGGATGAGCTGGGCTGCTCACCCTGAACCTTACCCGAAAGCATCCTTGAAGGTGCCAGGGACTCCCAGACAGTGCAGCCGAGCGCCCAACCCGCACCATCACATCCCCGTCCCCAGCAGATTCCCTCGTTTCCCTGGGAAAATAAGATTCCCTTGTTTCCCTGGGAAAATAACCCCTACAGCCCCCGTAACCCACACGGATGGGACAGGCAGATCAGCACAGACTGCCACTCTGCCCTCACCCTCAGGAAGCCAGATTTGGCCAAGCTCCACGCCCTCCGACGCTTCTGATCCTCGCAGAGTTGCGTGACATTCTATTAAAGTGGCTCAAAGCAGGCAGTTTGGAGAAGCAAGCAGGCAGCCCAGCCCCTGCAAGGGGCTCGCAAAGCTCCTTGCGTGATGCAAACTATGTATTTTTGTCCCAGCCTTTGCCAGTGAATAGCCAGCAGAATTATTTCACCGAGGGACACAGGGATGGCTCAAGTATACACTTGCAGACACTGTCTCCCCCTGTTTATGAGCATACCATGAAGTGCAATAAACCCTCATGTAAAGCCTAATCTAATAAAACACTCTCTGCAACTAGATCAATTTAGCAAAAAAAAAAAAAAAAAAAAGAAAGATTTAAACTGCATCATGCTAATCTTAACTTGTACCTGTTCCGCAGCCTGGCTGCTAAACAGTCTTGCTTTCCCAAAAAACAAAAGGCAGCATCTACCCCATCACATGAATCCCAGCGCTGAGGCTTTAGGAAACACATCACTGTTTCCTGCCACATCAAGGGATTCCTCCGAGGTCTTCCCAGCCACAGCCTGGGGTGACCCTGCTCGACTGACGACGCCTCGAGCCTCTCCAGCACATGACAGAACCGCGACAGGCCGATACAATCGACGCTGCTGCCGTTTCGCCTCCCCGCTGTGCTTGACCCGACTGTCGCCTGCCAGGCTGCTACGCAGTGCAAACCCTGCCCGTGGTCCCCAGCGTCCCAGCTCCGCTCCTGGCCCTGCAGGAAGCCTGGCAGAGCCGCAGCAAAGTTTCCATCAAAAACAACAGGAAACCTTCAATTTGCTCTGATTTGGACTACCAGCTCCCAGCTTACGCTGGGGGAAGGTCTGGGGAAGGCTGGCTCCATCCGCACAGCCCTACGACCCGGGCTGCCCCTGCACGGCGGCGAGCAGCGCTTTGGGAAATCAAAGGATCTGCGTTGCTGCCTGAAGAGCAGGTATTGGAGCTGGGGTTTTCCCTTGCAGTTCCCACGTGCTGAAAGACAGCGAGATACACAGGACTGCTCCCACCAGCATTTCGGACCTGCCGACCCAGCATCACCCACCTCCAAGCTCCAGTGCTCCAGCAATACCTTACCACAACCTTAAATCGCCTGCTGAGCTCTGCAAAACTCCACTTTGGGCAAGTCCCGGAGCTCATGCCAGGTCAAAGCCCACAGCCCTCCCCGGCAGCCCCAAACTCACCTCTTTGGCCTTGCAGAGGATCTTCTCCACGAGGATGAGGTAGTTGCCGGCATCTCGGCTCACCAGCTCCTGCAGGCTCCAGCAATTCAGGCACAGCCCGGCTGCGGGGGAGACAGAGCCGCCATCATTCACTGCCCCGTTCAAGAATGTCGCAGGAGGGACGAACAACGGGCAGGGGTCAGGGTGAAGGGGTTTGCTGTCTGTGTCAGATCACGGCAGAGGAAAAAAACCTCATGCCCTCACCCCGGACAGATCTAATCTCAGCGAATGGTGCTTATCCCAGGGGCATCGCTTTGTACCCGAGCGCCTTCGTGCTCACACAGCCCAACGCGCTCAGCGGGGTTGGATGCTTCTCCCCCAGGGAGGGGGGGCAGCTGACATGCCTGTGCTGCCACATGCCCGCTGCAGAGGCCAGGGGGATGTGCGCGGCATGGGCGGATGCCCACCTTCGGTCTGCCTGAGCACAGAAAACCCACTAGCACGACCCCTTGCCCTGCCGCCCCCAGGCTCAAACACCCCAGTGCACTATCCCAACTATAACCTCACTCAAACCCTGCAAAATTCAGCTCCCTGCCAGGCACCCATCCAACCCCCTCCAGCTGCATCACACCTGAGGGAACATGCTGCATCCCCCTGACCAGCTTCCCCACACCCTGGAGATGCACCATCACATCAGCATCACTGTTAAGCCTGCCCAGTATTTATTGCATCTTTTAGCACCTTCAATTTTTGATTAAATGTATTAAAACCCCACCAGAAGATGAGCCAGACAGAGAGGAGAATTGCCATGCAAAAGGATGGAGAGTCCTTCACCCCCTGGCCTCCATCCCCAGACATCTGCCTCTCGCTGCTGGGACCCGACCAGTGACAATGGCCCAAGGTGTTTCCCGAGGCCGTCGTTTTTCTTGGCGGTCAGGGCCACCTCCCAGATGGTCTTAGAGGAAATGATCCGCGTGAAGGCTGCCGGGCGCCTCCATTCATCCCGGTCCCGCATCCCAAGGACAGAGGCAGCACTCTCCAGCTCTGGATCTGCAGACCAAGAAGGGAGGAGCATCTCCTCCCCCTCCTCCTCCTCCTCCCTCCCAGGGACCCAGGTACTGCACACAGCTCCATGGAGAAAAGTTATGGGGAAATTTCAAGCAAACAGCCTAACAAATATCCAAGAAAGGGCCAAGCTCACATCTCCCCCATCCCATGTTGCCATGGATTCTTTCACCAGGGTGGGCACAGCGCAGACATCACACACAGCCCACGGCACTGTTCAGGGGTTGCTGGCACTGCAGCTCTTCCAAGCTCAGTCCAAAAGCAAACCCAAGAGAAACAGAGCATCTCTCCCTGCAGGGAAGTTGGGCTAATGATCAGAGAAGAAAAAGAAATACAAATCCAGCCGCTCTTCACTCACACGGTCTATTAAGGGGCACAGAAACATAAACAACAACCCATGCGTGTTGGCTGTCGCGTTGGAGCTAACAAGGAAGAAATAATGCCGCGAGCTGGCAAGGGGACAGCGGTATTCGTCACAAATCTACAGGTCACACTGGCCGTCCCTCCAATATTATTCCCAGCTGCAGAGGCTACAAATTCATCATAGACATGTAAATGTCATAAAAATACCTTTACAAACCTTCTAGGTTTTAAACAAGATTAATTTAAACCAGGGGAGAGGTCTGCTGGGACCCAGCTAGGAGAAAGACAATGGCAAAACAAGCAAAACTAATGCAAAAGTTAAAAAAACAGTCTTCACTCGCCCATCCTCCATGGACAGGCGTTGGCTCACCAGGACACACGCTATTTCTGTGGCTTTATGCCTAGCTTGTAGCTGAATTAACAGGGCAGGAGCCGTTCCCCACGGGAAAGCCCCCCTGCTGCCATGCAACTTTTTACTTTCAATGAATCAACATTTTCCAGCAGAGAAAGCTCCTGCTGGAAAGTTTCCAAGGAGCTCAGATGCACTTGCTGTTAATTACAGCTGCAATTTTTAATTTGCCTCTGGTACTCCCGGCATCTTGCCGGCTTTGCTGACACCCGGACCGCAACCTTAGATCGTGGTATCTTGTCAGCAAAGGCATAGCCACAGCGACCCGGTAATTCAACGATGCTCTGGTTTTCCTTTGAGCCACTTTCACAAGTCAGCGTAACGGCACAAAGCCACGGCTCTGCCTAGGAGAACTCCGGCAGATTGCTCAAATAAATCAATATTGTCCCAGAGCGTGGCATCCTCCAGGGAAAGCCCCAGAACCTGTGAAGTAGTCAAGAGAGCAACTGGCCCAGCAGAAGTGGTCAGAGCTGCCAGGAGCTTTGCTGACCTCGGCAAGAAGCGACTGGGCTCACGTGGCGCTTCAAAACAACCCGTCCTGCTTCGCCCAGGAGGAATATTTCACCCAGGAGGAATATTTCACCTGGGACAAGCCGTCCCGCTGCAGCTGCTCAGGGCAAAGCCTGGCCGTGCGGGGCAGGATCGGCGAGAGCAGCGGAGCCCAGCTCCGTCGGGGCACATCGCCAGATGAGGAGAACGCCGCTTCCTGCGCGAGCGTAACCACAAATACAAATAGCCCAGCAAGACGCAGGCTCTTTCCTTCCTCTCACTTCTAGCGAGGGAAGAGGAAATTGCGGCGGCAGCGGCTCGCTGTGTTATTCTGTGCTGAATGGGGCAGAGGGAGAGGCGCTGGGGCTGCTTCCCAGGGGAGGAGCTGGGGCAAACCTGCTGGGAACAGGCTGGGGACGGGCCGGCAGCAGGGACGAGGGCTCGAGGGAAGCGTCTGACAAATATAATTTAGACCTGAGGTCTTGTGACCCATTTTTGGGTCTTCTACAGGCACTGTGTGCTGAAGCACAAGGATGCAGCCAGGTATATTTGAATAACATCGCTATAAACAGAATTTCTGTTTAACTCATGGTCATGGCAAAATCCTGGGATTATGCTGGGATTAAGCCAAACAGTGCTGGGAGGCAGCAGGCTACCAGGGTCTGAGCTCCTAAATTTGGCAAAGTAGCATTAAGCAAAGACACACCACAGCTGCGTCCTTCCTAAAAATAGTCTCAAGCACAAAATGCAGCTTGGAAACCCTGGACACAATAAACAAAGACCATGTAACAAAGCAAAGTGTCCGGCCCACCAGGCATCGGACGGGGGATCCAGACCTGGGTGGGAATTCCCTTTAGTCCAGGTCACAAGCAGGCACTTTCCAACCACTGGGAGAAAAATTAGTCCCTGAAGCCACATTCCCTGTATCCAGACTAAAATGGTTATTTGGGCACTAAGGGTGATGCTCGTAACGTGCCCAGGTCAGGAACAAAACCCCCAAAGTGACATTAAAAGCAGAGAGGAGCCACCCACTTGCAAGCACCCTCTCCATCCCTCTGCAGATGTCCTGCACCCGCCTGGGACACAGCTGGGTGCTGCGGTGGGACCCAGGGCCCTTTATGAACTGCAGAGCAGCACTTGGTTTATTCCCAGGCCAGGGAGAGGCTGCAGGCAGGTGAGAAACCAACTCCAGAAAGTTTGATTTGCAGCTGCTCCTCCATCTCAGCACGCCCGAGCAGATGGTCCGTTGCTGGTTTGGTGTAACGGTGAATCGTGCCACCACACCAGGTCAGGGCACAAGTCACAGGGACAGCTCAGGAGCTGTGGTTTACACCAGGTCAGAGCAGCACAAGGCATGAAATCCAACCTGGATTCGTTCCACTGTGCCAGCTATGCTCAAAACCGGCAGCACCAGACCACGTCGGACACCCTCCCTGTCCTGGGGCGGATGAGGGTAGGATGCACACTGAGGGCACGCAGAAAGCTCAAATCAGGCTTTCTCCTGGACTTTGCACTTGCACTTTAATTCCCAAAGAAACATTTCTCACTATGAGACACAAGGGAGGCCCCAGATCTGCAGGGTGTACACAGCTTGGGGATGCTCTAGGATGTGCAAGGGGTGGAAAGTTCTGTGTTGGTGGGGAAACACTTCACCTCACTCACCTAAGCCCCTAGCACGGCAGGTTTGCAGAGCTCAGGCAGGTGCCTCTGCGCTAAGGGAAGTGGGAAATAAAATCATGCACACAAACTGCTCAGTGCCTTAAAGGAGAGCAATCCACACAGGAGCTGCGGGGTGATCTCCAGCTCTGGAGACGTGGAGATCAGCTTTTAAAGATGCACATTGTGCAGGCGGAACAAACCAGAACTTCACCTTCCAGCCCCTAATCCTATGAATCTGTCACAAGAGGCACTGGAGACCTCCCAGGAGGACAGTGGGAAGCCCCACAGCTAAAAAACTGCTTACATCTACCCTGCCCTCATGCTCATCCATCCGGTTTTCTCCACTAAACCAGAAACCCAGCACTATTTATTTCTTCTTTATACATGGAGAATGAGTCAGATTTATCTGCCAGCAACACAGGCAGCCCAGTGCCCCGGTCACAGGATGCCAGGGCTGCGACACATGGAGCCACAGCAGAAGCAGGTCTAAGCTGTGCTTATCCCAGCATCCCATACAGCATGCTTAGACTGAGCCCAACATGACACAGATCCAAAGCAAAACCTCCCTTTGGGACAGCAAAACCCACAGCAAAAGCTCCAAGCAGGGTCCCAGCGCTGGGGGACCCCCGCACCGGGAGAGAGTTTGGGTGCAGTGCACGCTCTTGCTTTGATCGCTATCGGCGTCGATGAAGATGCCGGCAGCATGCCGGGAGCCAGGCGACAGCGGCACCGTGGGCGGCCTCGGAAGGATGAGGCTTCGCGATTTCTTTTCTGAGAAGTGTACCGAGATGCTGTCCTCCCAGAGCGGCTTCTTCCTGACCTCAGTGGTTGACATTTCCCCTCTGCCGCTCTTCATAGGGGGCAACTGTCAAGTCGGAAAAAAAAAAAGAAACAAAGCAGAAATACCACATGCCCAAGCTGCCTTCGCCCACGACGGTTGGGCTGGGCATCGGCTCCCGGTGCCGTCAGAAGTGACACAGTTGGAGGGGTGAAAAGCAGATGTCTCCATTTCCTTCCTCCCCCAGACCCACTCCCACTGTTTCCACTACACTCTCACCACAATAAGGTGGTTTTCTCCAAGGGACTGCCCAGAGGAAGGGCCAACTCATAGCAGTTCGTAAGCAGCGGGTTGTGGAGGTGCCCAAAGCACAGGGGACAGCAAAAGCCCTGCAGTCACAGCATCCCTTTGGGATGCATCCTGCGCTCCGCAGCAGTCTGACCTGCAGCTCCCATTTCCAAGGAGCTGCTTAGAGCCCCCTTAGGGCACAGCAGCACCTCCCAGGGCTGGAATCACCCCAAGCCCTTCCACCCAGCCCGGGCAGTGATTTCAGCAAGAAAATCTACCACAAGCCTGGAGAAATCAGTTCAAAGGTTAAAATTTGCAAGGTTTAGTAACAAGCACACTTAGAGCTTGAAGTATTTCAGCCACTGCATTTTGCTACTTGGTGACTAAGCTGGAGGATCCCCACCCCAGACTTCTGTTCATTCCCCATCAGGGTGTTGAGATGACTGCAACTGAGCAGGATCTTAAGCTTCTCTTCATCAGAGTCGAGCAGACTGAACTCCCCGGGTGCCACATGAGGGGTATCATCAAACACTCCTCTCCTTCTCCAGCTCATCAGTCACCTTCATCCATCCTCCCCGACCAACATCCTTCATCCTCTCCGGCTCACGTGCAGCCCCATGGCAGAGACACCAGCTCCTTCCCATCCCCAGGACTTTGCGGCTGCCCTACAGCCTCTCCAGCAGCTCCCCATCCACCGCGATCCTCCAGCCCCTCGTGCACCTCTGGCTCTGCAGTATGGCATCCCTGGCACCACCAGCAGCAGATCCAAGCCCAGCAGTCCTTCACCAAAGGCTCCCCATTTCACTGCTCACCAGCAAGAAAGAAAGGATTTTTCTTCCTCTGGCACACTCTGATTTGACTATCATCTCTCTCCAGCAACATGGAGTAAGGCAAACTCTCTGAAGGAATGAGATTCCGTGAGGAATGGGAGGTTGTCTTTCCTCGCACTTTTCTAACAGGGTTTTTTGGTGAGTCAGAAACAAGAAATTTTAATTTGGTTCCTCCAATAAACGCTGTAGTTCAGGACAGATTTTCTGTTTAGACCCCAGAGTCGACCACAGGCTCATCCAGGGTATAAATCTGTGTTGGCCAAAGCACTCACACTTCTCCTCTTTGCTGACTTCACAGACCTCAGCTATTCAGTCACTTATGCGAGGGGGGAAACGACGCATCGGAAGGGATTACTCACCCACTCTGGAGCATCCTCCTGTAAAATTATCACGTAAAAATAAAGCATTAAATAACTTAAAAATGAACAAAATTCTAGCAAGGTCTCAGCCCAAAAAGCTGCGATGTGTTATTTTGGTGTACGGAAATGGTAAAAAGGAGGAGAAAGCAAACAAATTGGGAAACAGAAGTGATATAAGAAGTTAAAAATGAGAAAGGAGAAGGCTACTGCACAGTTAAAAACAAAATGGAGGGATTCATTGACTGTATGAGGAACAGAGCCCTGCCATAAATAACAGCCTGGATCTGACACAGGACAGCAATAATTAAACTGTTGTTTTTAACACAGGGAAGGCAGAAGAACGGAAAAACATTTCTGCTCTGTTTTTGAAAAGAAATAGAATACACTGTTAAGGGATACAGATATATCTGTGCATTATGCTGTTTTCCTACATCAATATGTTGCTGCAATAACGAAATACTTCCTACTCCGATTGCAAGGATGTGAAACAGCAGCTCCTCAAAGCAAGCATGTTAAAAATCAGCAGGGCTGGACAGCCCACGTGGAAGAGCACCAAAGGCATCAGCCAAGAAGCGCTGTCCCGGGGGCTGTCCGTAAGGAGTACCCCGGAGCACAGCAGAGCTATTACCATCACATTCACCGACAGCTGCGGAAACGGGGTTCGCTGGTCACGCTGAAGATTTCTGGCAACAGCACAAATGCTTTGATGAAGGGGAACTTTCTGATGTGTAAAATGCCTGAGATTCTCCCAGGAATGCCAGGTCATTCTGCCAAACCCCACAAAATCCACATGAAGAGGACTGAAAGCCAGCAGGCAGAGAGATGGGGGAAAATCCTTAGAAATGAGGAATCACTGGGCAGCACAGCTGCTCCCAACAGAGCCCACCACTACCCGACCCCTGCCCTGAACAGCCTTGTCTTTGCTTAATGAGCCAGAAAAATTATGAAGTCATTTTTTAAAGGCTACCCTACCACAAACAGCAGCACTGAGGGGCTGGGATTAGAGAAGGGCAGAGTTTGTGAGTGACACAGGAATTGATTAATTATAATTACAGGAAGAGGTGAGTTATGCGGCGCACAATGAACTGCTGGGCGAGATGGACTCCTTTGGGCGTGCACTGTAACGGTGCCAAACACGAGGTTGCGCTTCCAGGAACCAGGAATATGGGTCACACTTCAGAGCCTGTTTCCCAGAACGTGGAGAGACCAAAAGGACCTGGGAGTCCTGGCCGTAACAGCACGAACCAAGACCCAGCGTGATGCTACGGCATGGGGAGCTGGCATCCCTCAGGTGGGGTGAGGGAACAGGCACGGCGAAAGGGATTACTCCAGTATTTGGCAGCAGGTAGGATACCACCCGTGTCTCTTTCTTGACTTACAGGTAAACAGAAAAGCAGAGAGGGTTCAAAGAACTGCACAGACAAAAGGAAATCTGACTTTGACAGCCCCCCAAATTCATTCTATGTCTTTCCTCTACAAGAGGATTTGGGAGTGATTTAACCGCAGCCTGCAAGTGCGAGTATGAGGAAGAGAGGTCAAAACGACATTAAAAAACATTACTTCTGCTCGTTGGTGCTCTGACCTCACCACCACCATCCCAAATCCCTTCACAGCCCTCTGAACATTGCTCGTATCTTTATGACCACCAGGGTATCTGATCTAGATTTAAATGAAGTCAATAACAATACCTCCACACTTGCTTCTGACAATGCGGCAGAGATTATGCCCATAGGTTTTGAGGACTATGTGCATCAAAGCAAGCCAAGGCTGCCTGATTACACAAAGGAGTCTTTCCTCATGGGGAATGAAGACTCCTCCTCTCTCCAGCTCATGCATTGACAACTGGCAAGACACATGACTTGTCTGCTGAGTCTTTACATATGTAAGACCTAACATGACTTGTTTAGCATCTTGGTACGTCTTCCCAGTGCAACAAGAGGCTCAGGAAGACTGACTAGGTTGGATCCTCCCTCTAACTTTGAACACTGGAAGGGAGAAAAGGCCTCCAAGCCTCCTGTAGCACCAGCAGCTCTCTCACACCCGGCTGCCCATGTAGGTGAGCAGATCATACAAAGACAGAAGAACAAGCTCGTGGTTAACAGGTCACCTACCAGCCCATCTGCTGGAGACAGCATCTCTGCTAAGCCCATGTAGACATCTTTCCAGTGCGTGGTAGATCCTGTCCTCTGTACACGTGGTGTGCTGCATTTTAATTCATCTCCTAAAGAGAAAGAAAGAAGGAAGACAGTTAGTATACTATGGCCTTAGTTAAGTGCAAGGAAGACAGCACGGAAACTCTTCTACTGTAGTGCAGACAAGATGCTCCTGGTGAAACACCACCTCATTACTGCCTTCTGTCAACTTTTTCAACCCCAAAGCCAATGATGTGCCCTGCTCTGCTAGCTGTCATCTTCCCTTCTGCTCCCCCAGTCCATCCCAACCTTGGCAAAGAAAAGGAGGCGCACGCGTCCACAACCCGATCACAAGAGGCTGTGGGGCCAAGGCACCTTCCGCCTGATCTGCTGTAGGCATATCTGCCTTCTCACAACTTCCATCTGCGGGACAGATCAAGTCTCGCTCACGTGTTTGTGGCAAGGAGGTAATCTTGGGTTAGCCTCCATTGAAGATAACACTGCAAGACATAACAGCTGCAGCACCTTGCTCAGGTGGCAATCACAGAACAGCCCAGGCTGGAAGGGATCTCAAAAGATGATCTGGTCCAACCTGGGAAAAGTGACAGGAGAGCTCAAGCTCCTGCTCCTTGTGTTAGGCAACGATTGTCCCTGACAGCTCTAGTGTCCACTGGTGATGGTCACAAACCCACTCCCAAGTGCCAACCCTGTACCAGCCAGGAAAGCCTCCGGTACTGTCACCTCACTGCAATGCAGCCAACATGAAGAAAAGGTCCATGTGCCTTTGTGGCAACACAGGAAAATACAGAGGGGACCTCAGTCCCAACATATGAGGACATTGTGAAACTGCAGATTGCGTGCCTGGCCACAACCTTTTCACAACATGGCTCTGTGCGTCTCAGCTCTCCGCCACGGCTGAGGGCACAAACCTAAGCCCTGGGCTGGCAGAGACTGTGCCGGGGTGGGGGGAAGATTTGATCCCACCCAATTCATATGCATCTGTCTGTGACACCATGAAAATAAAAGCAATTTTCCCAGAAGGTTTACTTCTCAGATCTGCCCTGACCAGGAGCAATCAAAGAGGTGCCCAGGTAGAGATTCCCTCCTCCCTCGCAGTGCCAGCCCTGGCGTTCAGAGGGACCCTAGGGCAGGCATCTCTCCTCTCCCAAAGCACAGAGATGGGTCCATCCCACAGAATATTTGTCTCTTGGTTAGAGGCAACACAAATGCACAAAAAATAATCCAGGAAGAAGAAATAAAACCTGCCAATACTACAAAAAACACCTGCCAAGAAGGCCTTTGATTCCATCCCAGACAGCACATTCCTGTACCTATTGCACACGCCCATGCAGTTCCCAAAGCTACCCCAAAATGCTCCATGTTCTGCTTATTTGGTCAATGTTTGACGCTCAGGATTCAGCAGTGGCTGCGCCCATCACAGCTCCCCACCTCCACCCTGGCTGTGATCTCGGCAGAGGCTCCCCAGTCCCCCCTGCTTCGTGCACTCAGCATGACCACCTCCACCCACACTTAATTCCCAGCAATTCCCCCAAAAGGGCTCAGTAAAGCCATGTCCAGCTGCTGGGACTCCCCAAGAGAGCAGCGAGGACAGCTCAAGCCCCACCGCCTGGTCCTTCCTATGCTGGAGAGAAACCACCGATGGCTCTAAACAGGTGAAAGCAAACCCACAACGAGGAACCACTGACCTGCCAAATGCAAGCTCTCTCCTTTACCCCAAAGACGCTCATAGGGTCCTGCCCCTTGTGCCCCGCTGCCACAGCCTGTTATTACGGTCTTCACCAAAAGTTTTATCCATCAACAGTGGGTGCGCAAGGAACGCACGAGAAACGCTCCGCAGCGGTGCTGAGGACTGAATGAGGAGGGAATCTGCACATCAGCACCTTAGTCATGACTTGTGGCAAGAGGAAAGCAGTGACTAAGTGCACAGCATGACTCATAAGGACCCTTTACAACATCCAGCTCACAAAAATACACCTCCCCGCATGTCAGCTTGTTTTAGAGCACAGCTCAGTTCTCGGAGGGGAACATGCTCCTCACCACACACTCTGGGCAAGCCCCGCACCAGCCCAGCCATCCCTTCCTGATGCCTCTCGCATCCCAGCTCAGAACAGGCAGGGAATTTAAGGACAAAATATGACAAAGATATTACCATTCTTTCAAACCACAAAACACATTCTTTGGTTGGTTTTTTCTTCCGGTGTGCTACGGACAACACATGAATCTAAATCTCTTCTCCCAAGGAAGTGCTTATGGAAGCATCTTTCATGGGAGAGGACTCTGTTTGTCCACCACAACTAAGCAGAAACTTTTCAACCTCTTCTACTGTTTATTCCCCAAACTCTCCCTTCCTTCCCACCACACTGAGCAAAATGACAAGACGGGACAGTTCTGGAGGACGTAATCAGACTTTCCAAGGAGCTCTGTTGAGCATCTCAAAACACTAAGAAAAACAAGCGTTGAGGTCAAGGTTTTTAATCAACGCTCTGCAATGGTTTATGAGGGTGTTGAGCAACTCTGCGAATAAAAAAATCTGTCCCTTCATCATCTCCCTCCAGCTGGACTCCTGGCAGCAGAGCTGTTAAACCTTTGGCAAAACTGCAAGGTGCAAGGTATTAGGAGCAGGTGGAAGGGACGGTGCAGTCACTGCGTGGTGAACTGCCTGCAGTCACGTTTCACAACACAACCAGGGCACGCTGTGAGCAGTCATGCCCCGGCACCCATCGGGGACACGCACGTGACCAAGGCTGGCTGTTGCTCGGCTCATTTCCAAGCAGAGCAACATGTTGCAAAAGATATGGGTTTCCCTGCCTTCTCCTCAGGTGTCAAGCACGCTTTCAAGAGAGAGCACAGCCACCACCCAGGGAAGAAAGAAGGGTTTTGGTGGACCAATTGAGACAAAACAGCAGGGAGGATAACAAGAGACCTTCCAACATCAGATTGTCATAAGTGTTCTGACAGCAGCTTTACAGGCAATGCAAACAATGCCCACACATCTGCTCAACCACCATGTGAAGCACCTAGAGATATTGCTCCTTGGAGGCAGGAACAGAGAGGACACCACAGCAGTTCTGAGGAACATCCTCGGGCAATGAGTAAGTATCACCCTTGGACGAGGCATTAACTACCTCTCTTTAGAAAGCATATTGGGTACAGAAAAGTGTGGCCAGATCAGCTGCCACTCCTGCTCTGCACAGTCTTGGCAAGAGCTGAGCAAAGCAAGCAGAAGGGCTTTATCCTACCACACATCGCTCATGCATCGGACCTCAGCCCTACAAAATCAAGCTAAGGGACTTCAAGCCCTGGATGTTCTCTAAGATGAGATTGGTTTCCCTTCTCCAGTAACTTTGCACTTTAAAAGTAGTCTCCCAACACCATGCAAACCATACAGTCACCATTTAAGAGGCAGAGAAGCCAATGTTTGGACAAATTAAGCAACAGAGAGTTGTGGCACAGCTGGGAGCAGAAGGCAAATCTCCAGCTCTCCAGGCACATTCCTTACCTCCATGCCACCCTCCTGCTACCTGCAGTATCAGCACAGTCAGAAAGGACTGGACTTCTCGCAAGAAGATAGCTAGATCTCACCTAGACAGAGTTCCCATCGCTTCACACCATACACCATACACGTAGCTGACCAGCCAAGATAAACACCTACAATCGCACGTCCCAAGAAACACCTTCCTCTTGTGTCTCCCACGCAGGACAGCTGCCTGCCATCAGTGGGGCGCATCTGCAGACCGCTCCAATGGAGGTGGCAAGAGGAACTGACAGACACCAAGAGGGGAACCAGGAACCTGGGAACCACAACCGCACCGATCCAGGCACGGAGAGGTGGCCAGCTTGCAAACAGCTCCAGGACACGGCAGGCAGAGAGCAAGGCTTGCTCTCGTTAGCATTACATCATGCTGGTTATGGCACTCTTAGCCACAGCAGTGACAACATTTAAGCCCTCTGGTTTTAAGAGTCCCACGTTCCCAGAGAAACCAATTTGCCTCAAGGTCTTGCCCCGTTTTCAACAAATGGCCGACAATTAGCAACATCATGGGCGTGTGGCAAAGTTGAACCTACCCCCTCAGAAGGCCTGATCACCCAAAAGGCACCCGATAATTTTCTAACAAGACAAAAAAATGATTAAAGTGAGTGAGAAAAGCCATAGCACACCAAAGCTCAGTTTGAAAAGTATATTAGAGCATTTGTGAAATTGTCCCAGCACCTTGCACAGATTCAAGATCTTTGGAGAATTTCCACCTGAGATTGCTTAGTTAGAAGTCTTCATTCATCTCTGTTTGTCACAGTTAAAAAGGTAAACAGATAAATTACAATTTTCCTGTTAACTGACAGCAAATGGGTAAACATTTATCCCTCCAAGGAAAGCAGGAATTTGCCGATCTTTGTTTTTAGATTTTCACTTGTTGTCCTGCTTTGAGGCACAAGATGTGCAAAAAATCCCAAAGTTTTCAAAGAATATGAAAAACCCCACCACCAACAAAAAAATATTTTCCTGCTGGGCTGTGAAGCCTGAGCCCGCAAGAAGCTCTCAGGGCGTCACAGCTCCCTAACAGGGGCTTTCCACTCAGCTGGGACAGACTGTGGTTCCCCCACTTGCCTTCACCACCCTGGGACCCTTCCCTTTCATGGCTTTTCTCCTGCTCAGCATCAGAGCAAAGGAGAACGCCTCAACTCCTTCATGGCCAGGATGACACTGCCCTGGGAGCAGAGGATCCCTCTGCACACAGCAGCCAAGTTGAGATGACTGAGGCCATTAGCAGTTCCCACACGGCTGGGACACAGCACATGAGAAGCCGAGTTGGGGGCTGCACAGGCTTTTCTGCAATGAGAAACGCTATTCTTGTTTTAAGGTCCACATGAGTCCTATTATCTCCAACATCCAAAGGACTTCTCTGATCTCCTCCTATAGTGCTGGGTCCCAAGATACCACCATTAGACAGGAACAGAGGGAGAGAGCTCTGAGATGAAGTCCAAAGCTGGTGTTCCCAAATAAAGTAGTGAAGGGAATTGGACCACCCCTTCCTGGGACACCAGTCACCTCTGATCCAGCCAGCAGGGCAAATC